TTAATTTTACCCAAGCATTGCTAATTGTTAGAATATTTTTAATAATGAGATACAGCTAAGTAAAATCATAAATATTTATTATACATGTAACATTTGTTGGCTTGGAAAATACACGTGGATTGCGAAACAAAATGGTATTATAAGTTGAATCATTATTTCGGTATTAAAACGCTGTGAGAGACTGTAACTTCTTTGAATTTTGAACTTTCGGTTAATCTTACTTGCTTTGCTACCCACGAGACAGGCGCAGCCTAGTGTGGGGATCATAGTTCAAATATGTGATTGTTAATTGTAAGTTACGGTAAATAAATTTATTATTATTGTTATTATTAATTTCAGCCTTTCGCAAACTTGGAGTTTCATAATATTACTTTTTTTCTTGGAGATCTTGCAAATACCAGGATCCCGTAGGATTCGAAACTTTCAATTACTAATACCGGGAAATTATTAATACCGGGACTCAGATTATCCTGCGGCATTCGATTTCCTAGCACTGACATCCTGCTTTGGAAAATGCTTGCTTCTTGTACTAGAGGTCTTAGTCCTATTCCCATATCTTAATTAATCAAGATATTCAGTCTAGTTTACTTCAAATCATTCGCTAATCATCGATATAATACCTGCTTTAAAATATTTATTCCGTAAAAAAGTGTATACATGGAGTATAACAGTATTCTCCACGGCAACAATAAAAAAACAACTAGAATTAAAAAAGAAAACAAAAATAACGTCACCAAGCTAAATTAAAATTAATTACTAACTAATATCCATCAGACTCCTCTTCGACCCTCTATACCATTTAGTCTTCATTCCTGCCATAAACACTTGACACTGCGGTGATGCTGCCAGTACGAGGCGAGGAGTGTAGTCCCGCGAGGAATGAGCCAGTGTCTGTACAATTGAGTGCGTGAGGACAGGGGCATACGACGTCGCCAATTTCAGTTATAATTCTGTACTTTGAATTTAAGGATATTTTCCACAAAGTTCACACTGTCGATCTTATTCTTTAATACGTTTGTTGACGAAGCTTTATAAATGTCTTTGAACACGTTTGAAGTCTCCAATATTTTTTGACCTAAACGCTGTCCTTATGACACATGCCCAGTTAGAGCTTGCAGAACCATCTCGGTTCCTAAAATTTTGGCTCGTTACCTATTCCCGTAATAAAATTCACGATTTCCAGACATTATTTGATTAGAAAATCGGGATTTAATCGCGTATCAACGTATTATATTACAAACCTACAGTACGTAAAAAAAAAATAATGAAGACCAAGTGCGGGGAGTTAGAAAAATTCGCACTGCTAGAAGATGTTGACATCCATCTCTTCAGTCTCTTCGAGATCATGGCCGTTGCAACACGTCAGAAACGTAAATGAAATATTAATTTAAACTCGACGACGATTAAGTCCCGATTTTTAAAATTAAATAATCTATGTTTGTTTATTTCAGGCTTTCGTACATATTCAATTTACGTAATAATGATACCTTAAGTAACATAGAAAAGCTTCAATTTCTTTTATTGAAACGAAGGTTTCATTCAAAAAAATTATTTGAGATGCGCAGACAACGGGTAATTACTATTACAAGTATTGATAATTTTTTTCTGCTCATAAGGTTGACAAATTTAGACTTCGGGAATCTATAATCGCGCTACCAAGACCAGCTCACCTCGGGATTACCCGGTTCTCACAATAGTAGCTCAGAACAAATAGTGTTTCTTTAGAGCTACTGGCCACACTTCAATCATCTTTATTATAAATGAAATCGTTATCTTATCTTGTTTCACCATTCTCTTCAGAATGATAACGTTTCCTTTCAAGAGGTTATTTAGGTTATTTATGAGACTAACAGTTGTTTTTGTAAAAATGTAGCACAACTGGTGTACCGCAGGGATCCATACCGAGTCCTTTTTTATTTCATATTTACGAAATCCAGTAAAAGCATTCATATGTACTGGTAAATATTTGTGTAATTTTTTGGTAATAAAAGTACCCGCAATAGAAACAAATGTATTACACTACGGTCGTAGTAAATGGAGAACGTAGCTATTGCCTTATAAAGACTATACAGAATCGAAGAGAAAAAATGTTTGGGGATCTGACACGTCACGATAGTTTTTAAAAAAAGTATCGTAGAAGGGAAGATCGAAGAAAAGAAAGGTAGAGAAAGACCGAGACCAAGACATTAAAATTAGATAAGGGAAAAGTTATTGTCGTGTCTGGGAAATCAAAGTTAGGGCGCTGAACAGAGATGGTTGGCAATTACTCCACCGACAAGAGCGTAGCTATTAAATAAGAAGAAAGTAGAGCTATTACTTAACTCATTTGGATAAAGGTGTGGTGATATGTACCTATGGAACGATATAGTAAACATTTTTACTGGTTTGCAGTACTTGTCTTCACCGGGCAAAGTGGTATTCATGGATCCGGGTGAGGCTACAGATCGCGAGGCAAAGAAACTTACAGAGAAGGGCGTAGACATTATTATATTGTTATCCCACTGTGGATTGAAGAAGGATTAGTAAGTAATTAATGAAGTATATAGAATAGCATAGTAGCAGTTGAGCTTCTTGTGAAAGAGTTCGTCCAGGGAAGTAATGCCATCTTACCAATTTCTGCAGCCGAGCAGTAATGTGAGCATTGCTGCGTTTCGGAGGATAAGGTTTCGGTTTTGAAGAGTGAACTGCTGAAAGTACAGGTGGGTGTTGTCAACTTATGTCTGAGAGTAACGGGCGCAGTGTCAGTGCCCGTGAGATCTTTGCAATCTATAATATTGCAACTGTCGTGGTTAGGCGTGTCACTTACCACCAGGCCCATTACTTGTTCATCCTGTCGCTTGATAAAAAAAGTATAATTATAAGTTCAGATTTTAACTAAAACTATTTTGTAGGCAGTTTCAATACATCAATATCAACCCATTGTTCGTTCGACTGCTGGGCATGAGTTTCCTCTAAAGAGAAGGATTATTCGTTTTCCAAGGGTTGTGAACATCTTCGACATGGAAGTTTCATCACGATTTCACTTTTCGTCCACATTTAGAATATCTGGTATTATTTTCGCGTATAAATGATCCCTTATCAACTAATGTAGAATAAAAAATTCCTCCGATCCGGCCGGATTCAAACCGACGACGTCTTCTAGCAAACCGTGTCAGATGCTATACCAACTAAGCAACGGAACGAACCAACGGACCTCACGAATTTTTCCATGTACTTTTAGTCATATCTTTGTATTTGGTTTTACAACGACATTTTAGCTGTAGCCATCTATGAGAAATCTATGAAAGTATTTCGTCACCGAGTTACCAGATACCTTTACAGCTACCAGTCCCGGCTAGAGATGTCGCTATTCACTGTATTTAAATTTTTATTGAATTGATATTCAATTTTTTTTTTCTGAAATTACTCCACAAGCTTGTTATAATTATTAATTACGACGTCGACGTCTTCTAGCAAGCCATGGCGGACGCTATGCCAACTAAGCAAAATATTTTTTTCTAAGTGTTCGATCTTTGTATTAATAATTATAACAAACTGGTGGAGTAATTTCATATAAAAAATAATTGAATATGAATTCAATAAAAATTTGAACTAATGTAGAATTTTTTTTTAATATTAATATATTATATAGTATGTACCGAATTAGCCTTTAACATTGTTTCAGTGATATTTGTCGGAAATAATACATTAATGCAAATAATTGAATAAGTGCGGGCGCACATCACGTACAATTTGTTCTCCTACGATCTTAATTTCATTATAGTACAAGCGAAAGAAACAATAGAGTGACGGCTGACAGATTTGTTGTTTTTTTTTTGGTTGTCTGAACATAAAGCAATTTAGCCGGTAAATATTTAAAACAAAAAATAACAAAATAAATAAATAAAGCAAAAGTGAAAGTGCAAGGGATTATTGTACCATTACGGTATGGCGTAAAGGGTTGATTTTCGCAATTCGACATCGTAATACTTATTTTTTTATGGTATCATTTTATTTTATATAATACCTATCATATCTAGGGACGAACAAGTCGTAATACGCGACCAAATAAAAATACAATGTTAAGTATGAAGCTTCATTCGCATCATGCGACTATTAATTTTGTCGAGTATTACTTATTCGACAGTAATTGTTTCGGACAGATGTCGGACGGAGAACGAGAGTACAGAGCCTGTTGTCATGTGGATATGGATGTGTGTCGACAGCCCTAATCTAGTTTTGGCTGCTACTCGAAAAAGTCCTTTTTTTATACAACTACACTATTAATTTGTTATTTATGTACAACAATAAAACAACGGCTATGCTAGCGTTAACTGTAACTATGACGTAATACCTACCGATTAAAGTCTAGAATGACAACAATTTTCTTATTGATATATTAGACATTTTATGATGTTAGTAAAAGTAGAACAATATGTAATAAATAATATGACGTGATGCTTCTTTGTAATCATAATGTAACTGAATCTTTATTTGTTGTAGTTCGACTTAAAATATCTATGAAACCAAGTTTAGTAAGTAATGAAATAACACACTCTAAAATGACAATAACAAATAAATAGGCGAGCGTCTAGGGTGTTCTACAGGTCTACAGGACTTTTTTAATTAAAAATAAGTGTGCATTTGACCTCCTTCTCACCTGATATAAAGTGACGATGAGGTCGACGGTGGAGCATGCACTCATAAATAATGCCTATTTACCATTGACTTACAAATAAATGGACGACGGGTCTAATACAAAAACCACGAAAAAAATGTCCCAAGTCTACCTATTCGAAATTTAAATTGTAATGTCATCGCAGTATCGCGCTGTCAGTCGAACAAATGAAGACTAAAGCGGAGTTTGGCGCTCTGTATACGATTTTAGCGCCTTACAAGTGCGTACACTTTTTAGCGCGGACCCGACGTCCATATAATTGTAAGTCAATGCTATTTACTCTCGCCTTGAAAAAGTCCAAATTATAACGTTCAGGGAACAAATAAGCAGGCAGGGAATTCCAGTCCATAGTATTTCGCCATATAAATGTGGAAGCATAACGCTTGCGAATCTGTGGAATATCCACAATAGGGATGGAATCCATGCCTACGTCTAGTCCCCCGTATGATGGAAAGGGGAAGGCGGAATTAAATAATGTCATTCCATCGCATACTCTCCGTGATATATCCTGTAAAATATCGATAAGCAGGCAACTTTACGGCGGTGTTCAAGGCTCTGCAGCTTCGCCTCTACTAATTCCGAGTCATCTATTAAGCCTCTTGCCACGTTTGTCATTTGAATCCAAGGTGGTCAGTTGGTACGTAGCAGAGCCATCCCAGTACTTCATATGATAGAATGCATTGCTATTACTGCAGCCACTTTTGTATGGTACAGAAGAAAAGACTAGATTCCGCCAATTTTTTTTGAAATCATTATTCATTAAAACTCCACTGAGGTTATATCGCTATTATGACAATATTTGTTATTCTGCTGAAATCTAGTTGCAATGGCTAACTAGAGTGTCAGTGGAATGGCTGCGATGGCATTCATTTATTCAATTAACGATCAATGTTGCTAAACTACCGTGAAAATTACTATGCATATTTCTTTAATATCTCTTTCTATTGAGTTCTTAGGTTTTTGCGATTGTTACACACAGGAATGAAACTATTTTTCCGGATATAAATCGCGTATATTTGTTTTTTCAAACAAACCAACGCTTCGGGCCCTTTACTTGTCCCATGGTCACAGTTGATTGAGGTGGTGCAGTCTTGAACCAGTTATGTCTCATATTAATGCAAACCATCCTATTTTTTTTCACTGTAGTTACAAAAGTTATTAATTAAATACCTTATTTTTAATTTTACAAAGAAACATTCCAATTTACGCTACATTTTATTTTACAAATCATTATAATTTAACAACATGAATTTTTATTAAGTTAAATTTAATATTAATTAATAATGGCAATTGGAATAAATTAAAACATATTAATTAGTACAGCAGTCAGATTTTTCATCAGAGGAAATACTGGATCCCATTTCTTTCTATTATTATTTGGTTTAAGCTGCAAATTAGTCTACGAATTAAATGTATTTTTTATGTGAAGTAATAAGTAGACTACGTCATCGACGTGCCGTCGAAGAGCAGAGTACCAAAAAATTGCGATGGCAGTGGAATAGTAGCTCGATGGCTGTCCACTGACAAGCCACAATTCTTAGCTTGTAGCAGAATATCAAACGTACAAAATCCCTACCATTGAAATTCTATCGACACATAATGTGAAGTGATTTAAAATTGGCAGATTTGGTACCCAGGTCGAGATAAGTTCCTAAGATTATGTAGTTTCCTTTGCCGATTCATAGTAGTCATAGCATCGAGCATATAACTAGAAATAGAAACGAAATAAGGGCCATCCATGCCTGGCAACTCATTCAACAAATGGGCCTTATATCATTTTTAAATATAACTCTCGTTTGCGCTGAAATCACAAATTAGAGGGCTGAAATAATACAGCGCCAACAACTGACCTGTGTGTACGTCTCTGTATATTCAAAAAATATTCCGTATTTATTGTGATAAAGATAATATATCTAATAATGGGGGCTGTTCCATTCGGCGGTGTGGGTAAAACGGCAAAACATCTAATTACAAAACAAACGGAATCACATTTCATAAGTAATTAAATATTAAATATGTAATTTTTCAATTTTCGTCCATTATAGCAAAGCTCAAATTAAATTGGCTGATTTGAAGTGAAACAATTGACGACACCCGTCAATTGCTTTGAATTCGGGCTAGCTAATCGGAGCGCAGTTGTCACCGTAATGATTCGGCATAATAGTTTTCAAACAAATTAAATGACATTTCGTCTCTATTTCTGGTCATATACTCGATGAGTCGTAGTCATAATTATTCATTCAAATTAGCTGTCAAGCCAGGAATAATCGCCAAACGCACGCGCTGTCGCGCTGCGCCTTTGAAGTTGTCGACCCGTGGCGGCACTATTGAAAAAAAATTAAAAACTATGTTTGTACCTACAATTATAATTAATTTGGAAATATGGGATGAAAACTAATTGGAATTAGAAACTCAAAGACTCTAGATAAAGTCGTGGGTTGTTAGTTTCCTGATGAGTACCTAATATAGTTCAAAGTGACATATTTGAACGTAGAGACGGAAGCGACCTTTCATCGCGTGCACCTTTAAATAAGGAACGGGGTCATTGTCTAATCAATCCGCGAATTATTCCGTCCGCTGGCTGACCTTAATAATGAAGGATGTCTTGTCTCTCTTTAACGACAAGTCACATCCGTTGAAATGGAAGTGGTAGTGGACTAATAAGATTACATAATAAGGGAATTTTGCAATTTTGTCTGTAATCACACGAGCTGCGTTCCGAATGCATACCACCAGGTGTATAACTTGTTCATCCTGTAGTTAGCTTTACGCTCGTCCATAGCAGTTCTAGTGCCACTCAGAGCTTTAAATCGCAAAGAACTGATGGACACTGCCGATACGCCCGTCAGCCTGAGATATAGGTGGTCCCATGTGCCCGTAATTTGACTCTGACCTTCAAAACCGGAACGCAGTAATGCTCACATTATTGATTGGTGGCAGAAATAGGTAAATTGGGAGTACTTCTCTGGACGAACTCTTTCACAAAGAACTCTACTGCTACTAAAAGCAGTAGAAGTCCTCGAGAAAGAGTTCGTCCAGGGAAGTACTGCCACCTTACCTATTTCTGCCGCCAAGCAATGAGAGCATTACTATGTTCCGTTTGGAAAGTAAAGGTGCTGGTGAAATTACAGGCACATGGGACTTGTCAATTTTTGTCTCTGGATGACGGGCACAGTGGCAGTGACCCTAAGATCTTTGCGATTTAAAGCTCTGAGTGGCACTGCAACTGTTATGGATAGGCGTGTCGCTTACCACCAGGCGCACGACTTGTTCGTCCCTTCACTTGGTATTTATTATAAATTATGCATTCGGCGCTACTGCATCGCGATTCTTCTAATTACAACTGCTACGTTCCATTTGTAATGCAGTCGAAACGACGACGACCTGTTGACATGCATAGGAAGGGGATAGCTTCATAGAATGAAGCATATACAATAATTGGTAGCAATTTTTTATCTTTTCAAAAATGTTTGCATTCACAATCTTGGATTTATTTTGTCATATTTTTACATACAATTTCAACGAAATCTTCACCTGAATACACCATATTTAAATGCCAGTTGTACAAAATAGAAAATAAATACGGTATTATTTTGCAGTGAACTAGCTCGCGACCACGGAGAATATATAGATATTATAGTAGGTGGACACAGTCACAGCCTACTATCGAATGAACCTGCCCCAAGTGGAGAGTCAGTCGCAGGGCCATACCCTGTATTTATTGAGACCAATAAGAATTCTAAACATAAGGTATGTTCATAACAGCTTCCCACGGTCCGTGATTTCACGGACCGCGCCGATTTGTACGAGCGTGCTTGCGCCACATGCCCACCCACGCGAGACTGCTCTGTCCACGCGGCGCTTTGGCGCGAGCTCGCGCGGTCAAGGGTCGTGGGAAGCCAGTATAAAAGTGATGACGTGTTTACACAAGGCTTACTGACGCCTTCGGCGGATTACTTCGCCATGCCATAGGCGCAGTCGTTACGCTGCGCTGGTGCTGCGCTGTTTACACCGAGTCGCCTACCGTATTCGCCGAAATCACTTAGTTGAAATCTCGCTATGATAAATACAAGTTTACGCACAGAGACAACAAATTGTTCGGAACGTTCAACAAACTGACAGTGTTGCCAGAGCCATTGTAATGAAAATTACGTGTCGTTACCTCAAAATTTATGTTTTTGCTGTAAAAGTTCTATTTTTGTTTATTAATGAAAAATTGTAATTGTAATCTATATACATTGTTATATAAATCCTAAAAAACAAAAACTATAGAACGAACGTTATAGATGAATTAATTGGTAATTTGTTGTAGATATTAGTCTGTTTACGCCACCTCTGAGTTACGTTATTGTCTAATTTGAATGTGTTCGTAAACTAATTAGGATTTACAATAACAAATAGTATGATTTATTTAAAAATATGTCATCGTTCTCAAAAGTTACGAAACTTGTCAAAAAACCACAAGTTACTAGTTACTTACATATTACGCGAGAGGGTGAAAAGTTACGTAAAATGAAAGAATTGTGATCGTCTGGCAACACTGAATACTGATCGGGTAGGTTACTGAATACTGTTGGCATATCGTTGAACGTTCAATACCTATTATTGCAAGCACAGACATACATGTCTGTGATTGCAAGTTACATTTTTAGTTTATATTGAAATTTCAATCAATGTGCTGCCATCCAGCGCTTAATGGCTGAACGACGACGAACTCGTGATGTTTACTTAGTTCTCCCAAAAAGAAGCGATATATTTTCGTTTCTTGTAAGAAAAAAAATATTGTGATAAACAGAAATCTGAAAATTTATTAAAATAAAATAAGACTGAACGATGACATGCAGCACCACCATAGATAACAACAAGTGCGACTATCATCACGACACGTGTCGATCGTCACAGATCGTCAAAAATTTGTAGGCACCAACAGATTTGTTAAAAATGCTATCGGTTTTTTCCAGGTTCTTGTCGTACAGGCATCAGCATTCACCAAGTACTTAGGCAATCTCACAGTGTTTTTCGACTACGTTGGCGATTACGTCAAATGGGAAGGAGGACCTATTTTCTTAAATCGATCTATTCCAGAAGGTATGTGAATTCTTTTTAATGAAGGTCTGGCCATGTTTTGGTGACGAAGAGTAGTGCAGCATACAAGTCGTCTACTCTAATGGATATCTGGGAAAGGTAATATGGAGAAACTTAACGCGAAATAATATCGCGGTTGCTTAGGTTTTGAAGCTTTTTTGAGGTAGACGCCGACACATTGGCCTTTTATACTCGCTTACCTACTGTAAAATAAGCTAATAGTCCCTTGACATATTTATTATAAATATATTAATAATAATCGAATGGAATTGATTTTTTCTTTGATGAATGTAGCAAAAAACAACAATTATGCGGAACTTTGTGATATTTTGTCGAACGAAGTTTAGTCTCTACTATCACTAGTAAATGTGCCAAGTATAAACTAAAATTATATACTTGTTTCTTCTTTTTAATGGGATAAAAAAGGAGGAGGTTCTCAATTCGACTGTAGGCATTTTTTTGTATGTCTGTTACGCGATAACTCCCGCCGGCATTTGTGAACCGATTTTGATGATTCTTGTTTTGTTGGAAAGAGGGTTTTTTTATAACATCATGTGATGGGACGAACAAGTCGTGCGCCTGATGATAAGCTACACGTCTGTCCATGACAGTTACAGTGCCACTTAGAACTTTAAATTGCAAAGATCTGAGGGGCACTGCTGCTGCGCCTGGCAAATAGATGTGATTCCACGAACTTTTGAGGTCGGTTTTTTTAGTACTCTGTACTGAGATTATTATTTATAGCGACGACGATAAACTGATATGTTTGTACTAAAAGCTAACAAGTTACTTTTAGATCTTAAACTAAGGACTAGTTTTTATGTTTACCGGTTGAAGAAATAGGTTCTTATAGTTTTTAAGGCGTTCATGGTTATTTATCTAATGATTATCATTAAATACAGATTTATTACCTCCGACTGCAAATACGGTTGAAATATCGGGAAAAGGAACTTACATCGTGTTATAATTTTACAATATGTCGAGGGTAAAATTTTTACTGATAAGCTTATTTACTTCTTACAGATGAAGGAATTAAAGCCAAGCTACAGCCGTATGCGCAGTTAATACACGAAGCAGAAAACATTCGTATAGGAGAAAGCACGACCACTCTATTGGCTGATGAATGTGTGTACGGAGAATGCCCTTTGGGAAACTTGATTGTCGATACTATTCAGGCTGTGGTAAGGATATTTTGTCACTTCTATATTTGCTCTGTCTCCATGTCTTACAGAAGTATGTAGTACACGCCAGGCAGAATACATCTCCTCCAAGAATCAGATAACGAAAATGTATGAGAGGAACGACTGTCAGAATATAATAAATTAATAGCAAAATATATTATAAAATTTTGTCTTAAGCGAACTAGGCGTTAAAGCGAGACCATTGAACGTGAAGGCCCCTTCTCTACGTTTTTAATGTCATATTTATTACAGGCTAAGGAAAAAGTGAAGTCTAATTACGATTATATAACTTTCATCCAAAGCAGTAATATAAAAGCCAGTATTCCTCAGGGAAGTAAGTACATTTGTGAATAGTGATTTTATTTTATCTTCGTATTGATTAAACTTGCGTTAGCAGTGCGTTACTTAGTTCATTTGTATTTATTCAGTTTGCACGCTTTTTGCGAATTTGCTCACCCGTAGGCGGGAATAGTAAATGTTTAAAGGTGGCTTCCCACGGTCTGTGATTTCACGGGCCGCCCCGCCCGTGCGTATTTGTAAGAGCGTGCTCGCGCTGCAAGTCCGCGTCGCCTTGTGTCATGAGTTTTGGTTAGGCCCTATCCTCTCGTTCCCCATCTGACATCCGTCCGAAACAATAACTGTCAAATAAGTAATACTCGACAAAATTAAAAGACGCATGATGCGAATGATGCTTCATACTTGACGTAGTCTTTGGTCGAGTGTTATTTATGTATTACGGATGTCGGACGGAGAACGAGAGTAGACCCCCTGATTTAAGCTGCCATGCTCTCGTATTGCTTCCTTGAAGTTATAAACCCTTACTGGCCGTCGGCCTTAAATCCGTGCCGGTACAGGCGGCACTTTTTTCCCGGCCAGTGATTTCACGGACCATCATAGGTTGACATGATATATCATTGCACGAAGGCAATAGATACGTACATTGATAGCTAAATAACGTTGAATTAAATATTTTATTTTTATTTAGGTTGTATATATTTTTAAAGTGTTCACATAAACTAAAATACAAGTTCAAATGTATAATTAGGAGTACGCATGTTACGTAGTGCCATCTATTTGCGTGCGGTTGAAGAGGTGTTCTAACAATAAACCAAACCAAACCTACTAACTTTGACTTTTAATTTCAGCAATAACTAAAGGCGTGCTATTCGAAATTTTTCCATATTATGACAGAATTACCACTGTCGAGTTACAGGGTAAATACGTCTTGGAAGCTTTGGAGAGAAGTGTTAAACACGCGTGGGCGTTAGACCCCTTTAAAGGTCCTCGGGTACTGCAGGTTTCTGGTGAGTAAAATAAAATTTTCAGACCTATTATATAGATCAATAAAGTGGTGGAAGTAACCTCTACACCCCAAGAAAAGGTACTCAAACTTTGACATCAACAATACAATACGATCTTCTGAAATCCAAGCTTTTGGACCTAATTTATTGTTTAATATCATACAAATTTTCTGGCTCATCAATTCGTTATTGCGATTAAAAAATTACCGTAACAGTTTAAATATCATGTTATGTTTTTTCTCTTATGCTTAATCTGTATTTGTGTTATATCAGTGAATAAAGTGTTATCCTATGAGTGGCGAGGCGTCCATATAACTCGATTTTCGCCGGCTGGCCTAAAAATTTCAACGTATTATCAAAGACTACATTTTGTGCTACATTTTATGTGTTTAATAAGTTAACCAGTGAAATGAAGTATACTAGTACCTTGTGTGCTAAAAAGTTATGTTTAAGTGTCGCCAAGGCACTACTTTTTCTTAAGTTAGGTGTTTTTTGTTTTGCTCTGGCTTTCCTCGCCACTGTTTAATCCAGATAGAACATTAATATTTGAAGTGATGTTTTACTGGGTTAAAAAAACTTTGAAAGGCGTTGTTTGTTTTTTTTTTAATTCATTTTATTTATTTGGGAAACACACAGCATCATATAATACATTTAACTTTTTTTACATATGAAACAAACACTAGTCAAAACAGTTTCCACTAATGTTTAAAATAAGTTACTTTGGATAGACAAATTTATACATAGCTATAACCAGGCAATAACTAACATAATAATTACCACTTAGCAACAAATTGTAAATAACTTTTAACTATAATTTAAATTTATTGAATATTATGATGTTCAACTATCATGATATATATGTTATGTGAAATTAGAATTAGTATATAATGTAGTATAAGTAGAGCTTGTGAAACCTTACCTATTTCTATGTTAACTTATGTCTCCGGGCGTCGGGGGCAATGGCAAAGTTAAGATTTAAACCTCTGAGTGGCATTGCAACTGTTATGGACAGGTGTGTCGCTTACCACCAGGCACACAACTTGTATTAATTAATATTCAATTAATATTATTTAAAAAATACTCCACTAGTTTGTCACAAGTATTAATACAAAGATCGAACACTAAGAAAAATTCTTTCGATCGATTAATAATTACGTTAATGAAAGCTTCCTAATGGCATATTTGAACTGGAATGGCTTATTGTCAGATATATTAATTTCTTGATATTCGTTATTAAATTGAGTACAAGCCCGTACAAGGAACCTATTTTTAGAATGATTAGTGCGAGAATGAGGTATTGCAAATGGGCCTCGCGGACGTAGGTTGGGTCTTGGACATGTTAATGAAGTTTGGCTTAATAAATAAGTAGATTGTTAATAGTTTTGAAAAGAAAAAGTTGGTCCCGAAGCTCTCTCCGTTTTTGCGAAGGTATAATTTTTGTAGGTTTAAATTTCCAATATTTATATTTCAATCTTTTAACAAATTTATTTTGTACTCTTTCGATCATGTCGACATGTCTATTTTTCCCCCAGATATCCTATTAGCATGCTCTAATCGTATCGCCCATGTCATTAAATTCAGTACTGGTAAATAATATTTAAAGTTGCCATAAGAAGAAAAACAAAAATTCGTACGTTTCTTTGTCATAGGTCTTCGAGTAACCTACAATATAACACTACCAGAAGATAATCGGGTTGTTTCCGCGATTGTCGGCGATATTAATTCCACCACACCTTTGGACATTGATGCAATTTATCAAGTATCGCTGCCGGCTTTTCTGGGTGATGGAGGAGATGGGTATACTGTAAGTAACTGAAATTTAATCATATCCTTATTGTACAGGGTGTCTCACACGGCTATGCGACACGGAGAACAAGTATTAATTGTAGATAGCCGGAGATACGTACTGAATATCGACCGTAAAACGCATTGTGATTCATTTTAACTGCCTCCGTGGCCGGACAGTCACGCAGAGATTCCAGGTTCGATTCCCGGGCCGAGAGAAATAATTGTATGGTATTTGTACATTTATTCAATCTAAAATGTACAAAAAAGTCCATGGCACCCGCGACACAGGGTTTCCCTAGTGCGGGGCTATGTTGAGTGTGTGCGTTATTTACTTATTTATTTTCATTTAAAAATGTTAAAAATGGTGTTCCTTTAATTGAAGATACTACGTTACTTTTGACGACTTCCGTGGTCGATGGATTTGCGTTTTTACGGCGGTGCCAGCCGGGTCAATGTAAAAAAGTAACTTTTCTATATTGTGTCGGGTGTGGGTGTTTGTGGTACTGTAGTTGTTTCCGATCTGTATGTGACGTTGTCTAATATTTATTTATTTTTAAAAGGAGTTAATCCTCATAATTGATTCTTTCGATTGGCATTATATAAATATATAAATACAGGACTTTTTTTTTTCAAATTTGGTCGGTTTGATTCTCAAATGAGACAAGCAAATTTTTCAAAGTTTTTGAATGCAGTATTACTTACTCTTATAATAAAATAATGTCTCCATGAAGCAAATGTCCTATCTACAATTAACTGCCTCCGTGGTCGAACTGTTGCCATGCTGGACTACCACGTAAAGGTCCTGGGTTCCATTCCCAAGCCAGGAGAAATATGTGTTTGGCTTATATTTATTTATCTCGTGAGTTTGGGTGTAATTTGTGGTTGTCTATGCGTGTGTCCATGGCACCTGCGATATGGGGTTTCCCTAGTGCGGGATATGAGTGTGTGCGTTATTATTATTATTACAATATTTAAAGTACTTACCCTCCATGTTGCATAGCCGTGGGACACTCTGTATATAGCAAATTTTAATTGATATCGTTATATTATCATTGATTGAACACTCATTCATTTTTGTATAAGAAACTCTAGGGCTTGCTCTTTTTAATAGACATTTGTTCACATTTATCATTTACTGGTTAGTCGATTATGTATTGGCCGTGTTCTACACGCTGTTGATACAGTAAATAACTGGATCAAAATATTTTTTCTTACAGATGTTCCCACTCGGTAGGAAGAATATACAACAAATTGGCCGCGATCAAACAATTTTAACAGCATACCTAGAAAAGAATTCTCCCATAACTGTCAAGACCGATGGAAGAATTAGGATTCTTTATTAAACCGCAGTATAGTGTTGAGACTTGTTTGGGCCCACTACCATTCCTTGAAGTACAAGCTGGAGTATTAGTATTTATAATAAAAATTCGTGTGCGGCTCTAGTACCGGTAGGCTTGCTAAATTGTCGGGAAATCTGGGATTGTCCCGGAATTCTTCGTTTTGTCCCGTGTCCAGTAATTAGACTTTGCTGTCCCGGATTCCAAACACTTAGAAGTTGTTTTTACAAACTTACTAGAGTCATTCATAAAATAAGTCCCCCAGGCGCTGTAGTCGAAATGAGTATTAAAAAATCCTAAGATAGATAGAAAACAACGTTACGGCCATGTTGTGACCGTCACATTAGATAGATTTCCATCTCACAAATTAGTTGTAGTAGTAGACGGGCCGTCTTCCTTATCCTAGTAGAATTGTCCCGGAAGTGATAAGTTAATATTTGGCACGGATAGATATTTTTTCATGCGTTTAAAAGACGGATAGCCTCAATATTCACACACCAATCGCCCTGAGAACACGTCTGTGATGGATCCACACTTTGTTGCACTTTTATATTGGTATAGAAGACGACAACGGCTTTGCCGCCGGAAGAACAGAGGGTGTTTGGTTCATCCAATGAATCAAGAAGCATTGTGTACTAACACATTTGAAAAATTGTACGAAAATCTGAGTAATGATAAAAAATACGAGTCTTTGTTTCAGTAAAGATATCAATAAATCGTTGCCCACAGAAGATTAGCTGGTCATTTTGTATTAATAAAATTATGCGTGCCGTCCTTCTAAATCACTACTTCAAACTAGACGCCGCTTGTTCGGTAAATATTCGATAAAAAACGTATGAGATAAAGAGATGCATTAACACTATGCGCCACTGCACACAGAACACGTTAAAGGTCATTCGGTTTGCATGACAAGCCAAGGAAAAACACCGCTGTGTGAACAGTTCTATATCTAATGTATGCGCCACTGTTTATTCGGTAAGATTTTTACTACAAAAAACGTGCAGTACAATGCCGTGTGAGCGGGGGGGTTAGTAGCGGTCACCCGTCGAATTGCTTCAATTCGCGCATCGATAAGTGTTATGACTCCCTTATAGTCGTGGTGATTCAATAGTCAGTATAAACCATCCATCATTATTTTGTCTTCAGTTATCATCAATTGTCTTGTACTTGACAGACCGCCAAGGAAGTAAGAACCTTGATTAGTACGGGGTAAGGAGGTAAAAACTAAAAAATGATTACGTTAAAACGAGTTGCGTCTGTCGATCACATTCACGGTGTGGTGAACAGCTGGAACTTATATGTTAGTATTCTCAGGCACAGGCTTAACAAATTCTTACTTTTTCTGTAAAGAACACTATGTAAATGACGTATTGTACAATATTGAACTTAGTACGCTTTCAAATTGGACGCTTGGCAGCCCTTGTAGGGCTGCAGTGGCGCCACTGTGGTGCTGCAGCCGCGCCACTCCTAAAAACGAGGTTCTCAATTCGATTTTTTTTTCTGTTTTTGTGTGTATGTTACATGATTACTCCGGCATTTGTGAACCGATTTTCATGATTTTTTGGAAAGTGAGTACCTCAGCATTGGTTCCATTTCAATTTGAAGAAAATGTTCCATCTCTAAGGCTGCCTTTCCACCAGAGATGTGCGAGGTAGCGAGGCGGCGCGAGGATGTGTAGCGGCGCTGTGAAACGGTGTGATATTTTCCACCAAAGCTGTGCGAGGATACGTTACGAACTCTTTTTAGCTATGCGCGGGCGGGTTACGGTGTGGCGGGGTGAGCGGTGGCGATGTGTCAGTGTCATACTTTCAGTAGTTCTAGTTTCCTATACCGTTTTGCACACATTCCTCGCCCGCATCCCTCGCACACTTTCGTCGCACACATCTCTCGCACACATTTGTCGCTATTTTGTATGTACAAATACTTAGCTTCGCAAATCCTTTTCCACCGAAGCTGCGCTAAGCGAGGCTAGAAAAATGAAGTGATCCTATTGGTGGATTTTTTCCTCGCATGCTGCTTCGCTACGTCGCACATCTCTGGTGGAAAGGCAGTCTAAGGGTGGCAATCTAAGGGATGAATGAAACTTCGGACTGTTACATCGGAAAATATGAAGTTTTTACTTTCAAAACGTTCTACCGTAAAATCGTGATTTTGCAGATCGCCTGTTACTTTTTGCTGCCGTCGAATAGTTTGAAAAAGAGGCGCGCGCTTGGCGCGAATGTGGCGTTGCATCTGCGTTTCTAAAATATTGTATGAAAATGAATATTGACGCTACTATATTACTCATTTTCATACAATATTTAGAAGCGCAGCTGCAGCGCCACAGTGCCGCCACTGTACCGCTTCTATAAGCGACTAATTTAAAGGTGTCGTAATTATTATCACAGATTGTGTTGTCCTTATATTATTTTACTAATGAGTCTATATGTGTGACAAATGTGTGCGGACAGCCCTGTCTTTGTTAACTACCAATTATCTCATCATCGTGCGATAAATAATTGCAGCTTTCGTTAAGAGATAAGTTTGTTGTTTTGTTTATGACTAAGCGATTTCTATTATATAAAATTACAATGCTTATCTGTGTTTTATTTATGAACCAATTACGGCGAAGTAAAAAACAACGCAGTTTTAAATCTGCTCATTAATATGAATATCTTAAAGCTTATGCACACAGCGTATTTTTTTTACGCGCGGACGACTACTTACGGCCGCTTTCTATATTCGATCCAGAATCTAAGATTGTTTTCAATCCAGATTTTATTCGATCCATTGATCGATGCCGGATCTCTATTTCTATATGTCTATCTCGGCTCGAGCGCCCTTAAAAAAAAAAGGATCGGTCGTAAATTTACTCCCTCTCTGACGTTTAGTTCCACGCAATCGGAATAAGAGTTCATTACATGAATTAGTGAATAAAATGGTGGTTATGTTTCCAAGATTAATTTATTCATACATATGATTGCTTTTATCACAAATATAAATTAATTGCAAACGTTCAAGTACAAAATATTTAAATCGTAAGTACGTCAAGAATGACGTGAATTTTCGAGGAACGGAACGCGGCGGGGAAATGTCAGTGTCAATTTATGTTTTGTTGATGTTTGTTCGTATTTGTGACGCGATTATTTATAATCTAAATTATAAAAATGGAATCAGAAACCGTAAGTAAACGTTATTTATTTCGTTATTTTTACTCAATAAGCATTCACTTCACGTACCTACTGTCAAGTGTATCAAAGGAGTTCATTGAATATTTCAAATAAAGTATGCGTGGGGACGCAACGTCTCGCGCCTTTCTTGTATGCAAAAATTTAATTAACTTTTATTTGTTTGCAGAATAAAAACAAAGGTCTGTCGAAAGAAGAGACGAAAGGACTACTTTCATTGATTGAGGGGAGCAAAATAATAAATAATAAAAAAACCAACACCACCAGTAATAAAATGAAGGTTGAAGAATGGAGTAGAATTGCCGACATTTTCAACGCCAGTATGGGAATCTGTCGCCGTACTCCACAACAGCTTCGTCTTAAGTGGGAAAACTTAAAGAAAAATTCACGTAAGCGTAGTACTGCCATACGAATGGCGCGGATCAAGGTAACCAGTTTGTAATTGAAAAATAATTATAGTAGAATTCATTCAAGAATACAGAGCCTCAAATCCATTAGAACCTCAATTTAGGATCTTACTTGGCATTTTATTGTAGAGTCCAATCTAATTGACTGTAATGTAAGGTAATAAATGAAGAGTAATCTAATGAAGCAGAAAAATTAAAGTCTTATTTATGTTTTAGACTGGAGGTGGGCCACCAGAATACTTTCTACCAGATGAAATCCTAGACAGGGTGGCAGCATTGCTAGGTAGTACTGGGGAGGGTCTCAGTGTTGAGTTTGGTGGTGATGCTGAGCCCCAATCGTTTGGTGATAGTGACACTGATGGGAAAACATTTGCAGTGCCAGTTTTGGCTGACACATCCCCAGTACCGATGCTATTGATTGACAGCCCTTTGCCTGTGGACAATCCTCCATCCATGTCCGCAGATTGTTTAAGTTACAACATAGTAACAACTACACCCACTGGCAATAAAATGCCAATTAATGACACAGGGAATGGGTTATTTAAGCCAGGCAATACTACTACCCTCAATAATAAGCGACATTTTAAATCAAGTGGTAATGTACTATTATACTGTTTTTGTTAAGTTTATTTCTATATTTTCTTATTTTATATATTTCTTATTTTTAATAGCTATGTATTTTTGTTGCACAGGTGGTAAACGGAAGCTACTAAAGCCAGATGATGGGTGTCTTGCTAGAAATATGGCTATGGCAAAATATTTTGATAGTAAGAGTAAAGTATTAGAAACTCAGAATGAGAATATTAAGCTTGTAAATCAGAAAATAATATTAGACCAGAGGAGCCGTCGGCGATTTGGTACACACCAAAGAATTAACGCCATTATATATCAATAACAAATATAGAAATAATTGTCATGACAATGCCAAAGAATTGATGCCATTATATATCAATATAAAATGTTGGAGAAATAATCTCATAATATTGATTTGAATTTTTTAAATTTTCATTTTCAAATTAATAATATTTTTAGTTGTCAAAGATGTATATTTTAATTAGTATTTGTTAATTACCAACATAATAATTTTTAAATGCGCATACCTGTGTCACATTCGCACTATCCTGTTATTATTGTAAACTATCAATTATTGAATTATATTTTTTTAATTTCACTGGTGCCTTATACTAAATAAATAAAAATATTTGAATTAAAAGATACTTTGCTTTTTTCTACAAATTATTTATATTTTTCATAGTACAGGGTCAAGGGCACGTCAAGTTTGACACTAAAGGTTTAAATGTAACTATGCCGCTTGCAATAAGAACGGTCCAAAGTGTCAAGCTTCATGTGCTCTTGACTGTACCTACACTAGTAAAGGTACTGTATTTAAAATGAAACAATAGTCATAAGTAGAAAAGATGAAAATTCTATTTAATAATACCTATACATACAACCTACCCTAAATACTAAAATTATAATAATATTTATATTATACAGTAATAACTACTAATAACAGCAACTCCTTAAAAATAATTTAAAATGAGCTGTTGCCTGCTTCTGTCATCAATAGTTTGCACTACAGTATTTTCTGATGTCACTTCATTGACAACTTCTGTTTCGTCTTCTGACAGTTGGACCTCAGGGGGTACTAGCTGAATGTTATTATCTTTGCAGATGTTGTGTAGTACTGCTGTGGCTATGATTACTCTTTGTATGTTACTTAATGATAAGCGCATAGTCAATGCTATAACTGGAAAGCGGCGTTTCCACACACCAAAAGTCCTGTACAAACATACATAATAATTGTTCATAAAAAACTACTATTATGTCTTGAATCTTTGAAATAATAATACAGGGTGTTTTTACCTTTCAATTGTATTTCTAGTTTTTATGTGTGCCTCATTATATCTAATTTCTTGACTAGTAGATGGGTTTAATAGGGGTGTGAGTAAGTATGGGCGGTTTGGATAGGCACTATCCCCAAGTAACCACCGATTTCCTAAATTTCCATCTTCACATGAAGCTGTAATAATTAATATTAACATAAGTAACTCACATTACTAGTGCTTCAGTTTTAGTTAGATTTGTTACTACCTCTTAAATGAGAATTATTAAAAATTGTTGCATCGTGGGATGAACCAGGCCACCGAGCAACAACATTTAGTAATTTCAGTTCTGCATCACAAACAGCTTGGACGTTAAGGGAAAAGTATCCCTTTCTGTTTCGGAATTCTTCCCCTATTGTTGAACCTGAAACAAAATTATCTAATCATTGTAATTCATAATGTATGTACAAAGATAAAATAATTACTGGCACACTTCAAAAATTATGTTCTAATTTGATGATAAATCATTGGATTGAATACTTACATGGAGATTGAATGCGTACATGAGTACAGTCAATGGCACCACATACTCTAGGAAATTGAGCTATATTGTAAAATTTATCTGTACTCCTAGTATGCAGCACAATATATTTGTTATACAATCTAGCAATAGCAGCAGATATGTTTGATACAATTCTACACGCTGATGACAAGGACACACCAGCAAAATCAGCCACTGAATTTAGCATAGTCCCCAATGCGTAAAATCTAAGTGTTAATAAAAGTTGATGCAATGGTGGTATGCCGTTATTCCTGAAAATGATAATGAGTTCAGTATTATTTAGCGTAGAATATTAGCAAGTTAAGCAGTCAATGTTTAGGTTATGAATTAAGATTAGGATATAATAGATAGGTAATAATAAATTACATACCGTTTTGATTTGATTTTGATAAATGGCATTATTTCATTTAAAACAAATTCAACAGACGTTTTGTTTAGCCTAAATCTGAAAGTAAACTCAGCGTCAGTTAAACTTGCCATGAAATTTATACGCCGAAACGTTCTTGAAGACACAAGTTGGTCTTGGTCGCTGTCGCTATTATCAAAATCCGATAACTGAGCAAATTGTTCAAGATCACAGTCGCTATCACTTGAGAATACTTCCATTTTCACACTATTACACAGTACAATCGGTCAAAATTGGAGGATCGCTACTAAAGATCGAACACGTTCAAAATTCGATTTGTCAAACTTAAGGATCGGTTATAGAAAGCGCACAACTGTCACTGCCATACAAATGTCAATCTAAAAATGCCATATTGCCCTCCCACAGATGGATTGAAACAAAAGATCGGAATAACGATCCATCGATCGGTTATTGAAATAGTAAAAATAGGATTTGGATTGATTATTCAATCTTAGATAGCAAATTATGGATTGAGATTGAATATAGAAAGCGGCCGTTAGAGTGACGGAGAGTGACGGCAAATGTCAAATGTCAAGCGGGAGAATAGGTAGGTTATTGTACTTTTATCGCTCAGCTTGAGAAAATAAATAGATGAGAGTCAGCCGTGACCATGAGACCTGCAAAGGGCCCGGAACGTTGGTTTGTTTGAAACAACGAGAAAATAACCAGAAGTAGAGATGAAATCTCATTTAATTTGTTTGAAAACTAATCTGCCATATCATTACTGTAACAACTGCGTTCCGATTGACCAGCCCGAATTCGAAACAATTGACGGGTGTCGTCAATTGTTTCACATCAACTCGACCAGTTAACTATTATAATGGACGAAAATTGCAAAATTACATATTTAATGTTTAATTACCTATGAAATTTGATCCCGTTTGTTTTGTAATTACATGTTTTGCTGTTGTCCCCACACTACCGAATAGAACAGCACGCCATTGTTAGAAATATTATCTTTATTACTATAAATACAGAATATTTTTGGAATGACACAGGTCAGTTTTTGGCGCTGTCCATATTTCAGTGCAAACGAGAGTTGATATTTATAAGTGACGTATCACTAATGAGTTACCTGGAACGTGTGGCCCTTATTTCGTTTCTATTTCTGGTTATACCTATATATACTCGATGGCTTGAAAAAAACAAAATAAATATACGTGATTTAGGCCCGAAGAAATAGTAATGTCGATATGTCTCTTATACTATTATACTCCTATCGATCGGGGTTTACAATTTTTATGTATAACCCTTAGAGGATGGAAAAAAATAAAGGAATAGCCACTCGCATATGAAACTTGACACTTTGGACTTTGTACCGTTCATAGCGCAAGGGATATATAACTATAATATATAACTGGATATATAACTATAATATAACTGCCTCCGTGGCCGAACGGTTACCATGCCGGACTGCCACGCAGAGGTCCCAGGTTCGATTCCCGGGCAGGGAGAAATGTTTGTATGGCTTACATTTATTTCTCTCGTGAGTTTGGGTGTAATTTGTGGTTGTCTATGTGTGTGTCCATGGCACCCGCGACACAGGGTTTCCCTAGTGCGGGGCTATGTTGAGTGTGAGCGTTATTTATTTATTTATTTATATTTGATATCGAGTTTGATTTCAATCTCAAGTGTCAAGCGCGACATTGTCATGACCCTGTATATAACCTTGTTAAGTAAAAAAAGAATAAACGCTGTTCAATGTCATTATTATTGTAAACAATGTCTACAGTAAACATTTATTTTTATAATATTGTGTTAAATGTGATAAAGACGTAGACAGAGAAACCTATAGACGCCGCCATATTATGTTCGATCCCACTCATAAAAGAAAGAGAAACGCTTATTAGAAATATACGACGAGAAAAGAGAGTGTGCCATAATTTTTTGTCTCTCTTTGCGTGGCAGTTTTTTCAAGGTTATTTTTGCTTATGATTTTTTCATTCGAATGATCGTCGTAGTCTCAGTTCAATGCGAAAATAATCTAGTGGTTTTCTGTGTTTGTACTTTTCGTTTAAAAAAAATCAGAGATTTCTCATAGATGGCGCTAAAAAGTAGTTAAAACAAAAACAAAGATATGCAACAAATACTTTATTTTTAGTTGATGGTTCGTTCCGTAGCCCAGTTGGGAGAGCGTCAGCCACGTTATGGCGAGGGCATTGGTTCGAGTCCAGCTGGATCGAAAGAATTTCCCTTTGTGTTCAATCTTTGCATTAATAATTATAACACACTAGTGGAGTAATTTCACATCAATCAATTTACTATCAGGGTAGTAAAACATCGTAATATGCAATAAACTTAATATTTCAAAAAACTAATTACAAAAAATAATGAAGCCAAGCTTTCGGATTTGTCTTATCATTCACGAGTATGATATTTTTGCCTTAAAACATAATATTGTTATGTGATCGTGAAATAGTCCACTGATATGATTTAAAATTACATTATAAGAAAACATGACATATAAATTGCTTTGTTTGGTATTACCAACTTTTAATCTTAGTTCCGCCTCATTTGTGTATAAAATCAAAACTGGTAATTTATGTTATTGACTAACGAAACATATTTGTATGTAATTCGTGATCAGAAAGAGAATTGGAACCCACTAAAGTACTAAAAATATGTAGCAGATACTTTTTAATTATTAAAAAAAAAAACAAAACCTTTACTATGCTTGTTGCTATACCAACTTATATGGTTTTGTAGTATCATAACGCACTGCTTAACTACAATAGTGTTGTAACTCAAAATATGTGAATTTCAAGATTATATATTGCTTAACGTAAAATTTCAATCTCTACACATCATTCCAACCGTCGTCGTTAGAATATTGTGAGAAACAATTGAAAAATATCTACTTAACTCATAAGACAACCCTTTGTGAGCCAGTTCTGGACAAAACAATTCTTACCCAAAAATATGTTTCTTTCTTTTATTTTTTTGAAATATGTCGGGCAAGTAGGAAATTGATTAGATGTCGGTAGTGAACCTAAACCTATACAAAATAAAAGTTAATAATCATTAGCGGGAAGTGAGTAATAAGTTTTTCAACGATTCTGCAAAAATACAATTTTTGATTATATTTTATTCACATCGTTCAAGGTTGTTTAAGGAAACACTAATGTTTAATGAAAATGTAAAAGCATGGATTCTTTAATTTTTTAAGATCGTTTGTATATATTGGAAATAACATATCCACGTACATTATCTTGGAACATTATTTTATACTATTTCACTATTTGACATCCTACCTATGATCCCATCCAATATCCAGTAGAGCAAACAAAACTCTTAATTAACTAAAAAATACAATAGAAATGCTACCATATCATACAATTTTAGTAGCAGTGGAGCTCCTTGTGAAAGAGTTCGTCCAGGGAAATATTGCCTTACCTATTTCTGCCGCCGAGCAGTAATGTGCGCATTATTGTGTTCCAGTTTTCAAGGGTAATTAGGTGCTGGTGAAATTGCATGCACATGAGACTTGTCAACTTATGTCTCAGGGTGACAGGCGCAGTGCCAGAGCCTCTCAGATCTTAGCAACTTAAAGTTCTTAATGCAACTGTTATGGACAGGCGTGTAGCTTACAATCAGGCGCACGACTTGTTTGTCCCGTCACTTGAAATTATAAAAAAAATTAGCAGTGTCTAAATAACTGCTTCCGTGGCAAAACCATGCTGAACTGCCACGCAGAGGTCCCCCGGTTCAATTCGAAAGTCGGGAGAAATATTTGTATAGCCTACATTTATTTCTCTCGTGAGTTTGGGTGTGATTTGTGGTTGTCTATGTGTGTGTTCATGGCATCAGCGATACAGGGTTCCCTAAGTGCGAGGTTATGAGTGTGTGCATTAAAATTTACATAACAACATAATTATCCCAGAGTTTACCGAAAAACAAGGTAATTTTTTTCTAGAGTCACACTTGTGCGACAATAAGTGTAACTGTATATAGGACTTACTTTGTCTCATGTGTGGCCACGCCAGGCCAGTGTCTTGTGTATTAATACGTTTATGGATAAAAATCATTATCTATTGAAATTGGGTGAGTCTAATCATTAAAAATAGATGTTAAAATTTATTGTTAACAAAATCTTAGCTTATAAATTTTTCGAGTTCTGAAAGTTTCGTTGCATCTCGAAAATATGTTCATGATCATAACATTCTGGATTATTATATATAATATGAATTAGTTTACCACACTTGAAACGTGCAAGAGGCTGATTTTTAAAAACATTCACAAGCGTGCAATGATATTATATAGTTACGATATTAGGAGCGTGACAATTTTTTGTTAGATTTGCATGTGTAACGAAAACCTGTTTTTTTCAGCGGTGTAAAAAATATATCTTTCTGAAGTATTCTTAAAATGGGAGAACTTCGATTATTTTTCATAAGTACGTGTTTACTTACGACATTTTGCCATATCCTACCACAAGAAAGATTGTATGCGTTGGACATTGTACATTATAATGATTTTCATGCAAGGTAAGTCAATTTTATATATAATTTATGTTGTGTTATAAAACCTGCATTTAAATGTTAAAGCACGTATATTTTCCTTTTTGGGAGAGGTTGTGTATTATGAGGAACGTTCGCAGGGTACGCAGCGTCAGTATAGGCCGCGTAGTGTCGCTTTTGTACAGAGCCCTTAGGTTAAAGTTCGTAAATAATTATTAACGAAGTTGCGCCCGGTTCGTAACGAGAGCAGCTATAGTGCTAAATCAACAATGGGCGATGTTGAATTATCTTTATTTGCCTACTTTGCCCAACTAAACCGTACTTCAAGAAATGTGTTAAGTATACAAGTGTTATAACGAGAAACAATACGCGTCGAGTGCTTATATTGCATTTTATTTTATTGTATATTATATTTTAGGCAGTAGAGCTCCTTGTGAAAGAGTTCGTCCAGGGAAGCACCACTGTGCCTATTTCTGCTGCCTAGCAGTAATGTGAGCATTACTGCGTACCGGTTTTGAAGGGTAACGGTGCTGGTGAAATTACAGGCACATGGAACTTGTCAACTTATGTCTCAGGTTCCCCTCAGATCTTAGCGATATAAAGTTCTAAGTAGCACTGTAACAGCTGTTATAGACAGGCGTGTCCCCAGACGCACGTTTTGTTCGTCCTGCCGCTTGTGTCATAATAAAAAAATATTTTTGACAGTTAACTAGCAATTACTTTCGTTGTGGTGTTTAGAAGAAAAGCTTTACTGAATTTATAATTAAAAAATGTAACTATTAGAATTATTATTTTTTAATTATTTACTGTTAATTTAATTTAGTACAAATTCTTATTGTTAAAATAATATATTTTGCAAAATGTATGTAGTATTGAATTAGAATGTTATTTACTAAATTTAAAATAAGGTATTTAAATTGATAACTTTTGTAGCTATTGTTCAGAATAGGGTGGTTTGCATTAAAATTAGATTTAACTGGTTGATGACACATACGGAAGAAAAAAAAACAATGGAAGTGCTATAAACTTCGATGACTATCAGAACCGCTGTCGCCAAAACTCATACAATCATAAAACATGTTAAACACTATGAAACCCTGAAAAAGGTCGTAGTTTGTAATTTAAAAAGATGTAACAAATTCTTCAGAATTTGTTACATAACAGTTCATGTTATTAATATAATTTAAACTTTATTAAAATTAATTAAAATAAGGCTTAACGATGATATAAAACACCATGGATAATATTACAGGTGCAACTATCATTTTTGCATTCCTAATTAGTAAACAATTTTTCCACGAATTCAAGGTTTTGCGCTGTATAATTGACACGATCAGCGAAAGTAGCGGACGGAGCTCAAGTATGTGGAACTCCACATACCATTGGCACACGTTTCACACTAAACACTGTAGATATTTATTGTTCTGTGCTTTAACATCTCAGTCAGCAGTGGCCATGTGACCTGAGAGGGCCCAAAAGGCGTGTTGCTTACAATCAGACGTTCGCCTTGTTCGTCCAGTCTCTTGGTATCATAAAAAAAAGATAGCACTAGTTTTCGAAGAAATAGTTTCATTTCCAATGTTTAGCAATATAGAAAGCCTAACAACTCGTTGTATAAATATGATTGTTTTGATTTTTCGCTTTTCGCCCACGATAGCGAGCCTCTCGCATTGGCCAGATCTGTTACGATTGTAAAATAGATGTAGCGCATAGCGTAGAAAAATAACACCCTGCCGCTAGAATATTAAGAAGTTTATAAAATATTTTATTCTCTCACTCCAAATAATATGTTGATTCCCCGTGGGGAGAATTTTGGAATAGAATTTTTCTAAATTGGTTTTGATCATTGTAAGTAGTCCCCGGCGTTATCCATTACTTTGGTACTAGTAGCATAAGAAAATTGTGTGTTTGACGCTGGTTTAGTCAGGAACTACTTGATGATTGTGTATTCACTCTTAGTTATCAGTTCGTTCAGCCGGAAATGGAATAATAACGTTACTTGAATGCAATTAGTTGTTTTATCCACTTTTCACATTAGTTCGAAAATACAAAAGATGGATGAGGTTAAAACGGATTCTAAATATTACGCGGCAAGTTTACAGAGAGCGAGGCGGTACACGTCTTCACTGTCCAAGGAACTATACAATAAGCCCCCTCTCTCCGACCATACCCAGTTTGAGCTGTCAAACTGACGTATATTTGTCAACAGAGAAACCATGATCGTGACTGGTTAAAATAATTCGTAGATAGCCTTGTAAAGGTCTATCCACACATATCAGGGCCGTCCCTGGGCAGTGGCCGGGACGTGGACGGGCCGTGCTCCCTCAGGGGCTCAAAAAAATATCGTTGTGTATATTTTGTATGAACTCGTTCACACATGTCCGTATCCTGGTCGGGGCCGGGACGGGCCCGCAAGTTCATACAAACTAGCACGCCTCGTCCACGTCCCGGGTACGGTCCGGATATGTGTGGATAGTTCTTAAATCGTTTATCTAATAAATTACGTTTGAAGTGATAACTGACTCCGACATATAAATACAAAATTTATTTTTTAGATTCGAAGAAACGTCAGTTCACTATCCAGTATGTCGATTCAACAACGGCTCATGTCTGGGTGGATTCCCGCGGCTCTACAAGGAAATAACCACACTCCTCAACGAGAAACCAGACGCGTTACTATTGAACGTTGGAGATAGTTTTCAAGGAACATATTGGTACACTTTGTTAAAATGGAACGTAACTCAGGAATTCATGAACTTGTTGCCTCATGATGCTCATGTAGGTTATTTTTACTATTCTCGTTCTTATCTTGACAGCACTATTATACGCCACAGGGAATTGATGAGCTTATATTGTCGCTTCACACCCCGTGTTACTTTGCGGATGTCCCCCTTAGTACGAGTTATTATAGTTAGGTTAGGTTAGTTAGTAGCCTCATCCTGCTCATGTTAGTTCTTTTCAGTATCTTCTTCCTTATATTTGCTGACAATTTTCTTCATATTTCAAGACAAATAAGAGATTGTTTATATATCGAGTTCTTAGGTTTTCGCTATTGTTACACATAGGAAATGAAACTATTTTTCCGGATTTAAATCGCGTATGTTTGTTTTTTCAAACAAACCAACGTTTCAAGCCCTTTATCATGGGACCTCCCATGGTCAAACGTTGGTTTGTTTGAAAAAACAAATGTACACGATTTAAATCCGGAAAAATAGTTTCATTTCCCATAGATTGTTTATATTTTATATATACTTGTACAATTCAGCTGAAGCTTCAAATTCAGCTAGTTCGTCCTAAAGTTTGTTTTATATAAGTAGTTGAAATGCGACCTGACATATGACTTTTCCTTCCAAAGTAGATGTTGAGGAGTAAGCTTAAATTTAGAACATTGTCCATAGTTGTTGAACCCAATCGCATCTGTTAGGTTAGATGTGGTGACAGTAATATAATGACAGTAGTAAGTGACGTGTGGTACGGCGGCACTGCGAAGTGCGGTTGTAGAGTACTCCCATCGATTACAAACATTCCTGTTCTCTTACTGCAAATCACGAAGATTGATTGGTCAATATTTCTTGGAGTGATTTGGATTGAGTTCTAGAAAAGTTGAAGGGCAACAATAGACATGGTAAATCGTTGCCACACGATGCGTTGCGATGCTTGACCGATAACGTAGGGTTATACTACATATAAATTAGAACTGCATGCCACTTGCGGCGACGGAACACGTGCACATCGGACAAGGGGCCTGAAGCTGGGATGGGTGTTGCGGCATATACCGACACGATGCAAATGTATGGCATCGCGTAGTAAGCATCATTATCAGGCGGGACATTGACTCGGAAATAGAAGAATATCGATATTTTCTATATACTAATTCTCACAGCCATGTACAAACAAAACTACACACATCAAAAGTGTCTAGGGATCAAGTGAATATTTTTAAAATAAAAATTATTTAAGCAATATTTACCAAATCCAGTCTTCCAGGACGACTTCTTACTTTAATGCTTATGTTTTATTTAACCGCTTACCCCTATATTTAATAAAAATAAACTAAAATTGATGTTTTTGCAAATTGTGGGAAAAAACTCAAATTAACGGCGTCAATTAAATGACAAAAAAATGGCGAAAATGATGATTTTGCTCATTTTTATTGTAAAGATAAGAAAATTAATAATCTGTATTTCCACCATTAACACGAATCACACAATTACAGCGATTTGGCATGCTTAAGATGAGTTCATCAAAATCACTTTGAGGAATGGCCGCCCATGTGTTTTGTAACAAGTCAAAATATTGTTGTAGAGTATGTACGGTATGCATACTCGGCACAGCTCTTCTTTGAAGCATATCCCATGCGTGCTCAATTGGATTGAGGCCTGGCGATTGAGCAAGCCACGGCAGAACGTTGATACGAGCTTCGGCAAGAATGCGTGTTACGACTCTAGCCGTGTGTGGACGTGGGTTGTCATGCATTAGTTGAAATGAATCACCCAACTGGCCTCGCAAAGGGATGATAACATCTGAAACAATCCTCTCTGCGTAAACTTGAGCATTGAGGTTACCCCTGATCCAAATGAGATCGGTTCTTCCGCCGATCCAAATACCGGCCCATATCATTATTGTTCCCCCACCATATGGATGAACTTCCTGACAATATCTCAAACGTTCATGACGTCCAGATGTTCTCCAAACTCGAGTACGTCTTGTATCCGGTCTCATACCGAAGCGGGATTCATCCGAAAAGCACACATAGCGCCAGTCTTCTTCCTCCCAGTTTCTGTGTTCGCGAGCCCATCGTAAACGGGTCCTGCGATTGCAGGGTGCAATAGGTGGAACTCTGAGCGGCCTTCGGGATCGCAGACCCACTTCACGTAAACGATTTCGGATTGTTTGATCGCTTATTAGCAAGCCTGAGGAGCTGTGGAGCCTCGTAACCGACATCATGGCGGTCATGGTACGATTCCGTCGAGCAGTATTTTGGATATACCGGTCCTGTCTGCGAGTCGTGATGCGAGATCGTCCTCCATGTCGCTCGGCCACGCTGCCCGTCATGCGATAGCGCGTCCAGAGGCGAATAATGACGCTCTGTGTAGTGTTAAGAGTGAAAGCCAAAGCATGTTGCCTGGAACCAGCTTCCAACATTCCGACGGCTCGCATCATCACTTCTCGGGTTAAATGATGTCGTCTCTCCATAATAATGTAAATTGTTTCGGTTCCGATGCAGATATTGTAATGATTTTGTCAAAACGTTATAACTCATTTTTATACAAAACCACATTGTCAATAGATTTTCTTCTTATTATCGAATTATAAACAATATTCCTTATTTAAATGTTAAAACTCACTAAAAAGTATCAATAGCGATACAAAAAAGTTAATATAATTAACCCTAATTGCAGCAATACTCTTAAACGTACTTGATCCCTAGACACTTTTGATGTGTGTATAATTTTATTGTCACAATCATACATTGCCTGATTTCTATAACAATAGTTCTATAATTTGCTTGAGAAATACGATTTGTACGAAAAACACACTTTCTTAACATCACCACTATTTACTTTGCGATATTGTGTATCATTAATCATGTAATAATCAATCATAACTTCGTTTGACAGGCTATAGGCAACCACGAATTCGACGACGGTCCGGAGGGTCTGGCGCCTTACCTCTCGCATCTAAAAGCACCAGCGCTAGCTGCCAATATGGACGTGTCACAAGAACCTGTACTGCAGGGATTGTTCCAGAGCAGTATAGTTGTTGAGAAAAAAGGACGGAAAATTGGCATCATTGGTCTTGCTACGCAGGAAACAGCGGTGAATTAGAAATGCTACAATATTATTTTTTAGCTCAATATTTCTGTAGATGAGAGGTAGAGAACTTTAAGTGCCAAAAGCCGATTCGAAATGCTCGTATTTTTCGCTCCTATTACATGGACATAAAGGGTTTTGTGTCCGCCTTAATGCGATCAGGTGTGTGTACATTTTGACAGTAATAACTTAATGTCTCCTAAACAATTTGAAAAAAAAAAAAGAATAATCATTGACCTGGTCAATGTTAATAATAGATAAATAGGCGATCAAATAGGGTGTCCCCCAATGTTTGTTGGATACGGAGGGAAAGTACTTTAGATATTGTAGATTTAAAAGTAAGTAATATTCCATTTAAGGAGTTTTAAAAAGTTTCTTGCCTAGACTGATAATCGAACCGACTAAATATGAAAAAAATCCAGTATTTTTATGCTTATTAGTATTATATTTATATATATTATATTACCTTGGATGATTAGATTGGCTAACTAGGGTTGCCACCGTTACACGTGGTATATTTTCTTCAAATTTAAATGGGACCAATACTGAGGTACCCTCTTTCCAACAAAAAAGAATCATCAAAATCGGTTGATAAATCGGCCGGAGTTATCGCGTAACAAACATACAAAAAAATACAGTGTAATTGAAACGTCCTCCTATTTTTCCTTCTTTTGAAGTCGGTTAAAAATACTTTTCCTCCGTGTTTTTATAGGTGTTCTACAGGATATGTCATGGAGAGTGTGCTCGCACAGTATTGAATGATTTAATTCCGCCTTCATGCTTTCATCATCGGGGGACCAGACTTAGGCTGGGGTTCCAGATCTATGTTGCGAACATTCCAAGGATTCGTACTAAGCGTTTCGCTTCCACATTTATATGGCGAACGGCTATGGAGTGGAATTCCCTGCCTGCAGATTTGTTCCCTATACGGTTTAACTTGCGCCTTTTCAAAGCGTGAGTGAATAGGCTTTTTTCGGTGCGCATGCTCTCTCGTCGACTTCATTGTCATTTTCCATCAGGCGAGATGGAAGTCAAGTGCACACTTATTTTTAATAAAATAAAGTCCTGTAGCCGTGGAACACCCTGTACGCTCGCCTATTTGTCTGTTTTTGTGGTTTTAGAGTGTGTTATTTCTATACTCACTAAACTTGGTTTCATAGATATTTTAAGTCGAACTACAACAAATAAAGATTCAGTTACATTATGAATACAAAGAAGCATCACGTCATATTATTTATTACATATTGTTGTACTTTTACTAACACGATAAAATGTCTAATATATCAATAAGAAAATTGTTGTCATTCTAGACTTTAATCGGTAGGTATTACGTCATAGTTATAGTTAACGCCTAGCATCGCCATCGCCGTAGTTTTGTTGTTGTACATAAATAACAAATTAATAGTGACCTCAAAGAAATAATCGTCAATAAAAAATAACAAGAACTTATTACAGTACTTCTTTTTATGATACCAAGTGAGGAACAAGTCGTGCGCCTGGTGGTAAGGGACAAGCCTGTCCATAGCAGTTGCTGTACCACTCAGAGTTTTAAGTCACAAATATCTGAGGGGCGCTGTCACTGCGCCCGTCACTCTGAGACATAAGTTGACAAGTCCCATGTGCCTGTAATTTCACAAGCACCCTTACCTTTCAAACAGGAATGCAGTAATGGTCACATTACTGCTTGGCGGCAGATATAGGTAGTCTTTCACAAGGAACTCTATTACTGCCAATTTACTATAGTACTTACTTAGTTAGTTACGTACTTATTTAGTTTTAGCACTACCCAGAACACCCAGACCAGAATCAAATATAAAAATTTCATTTCCTAAATTTGTTCTTCGGAGAATCGAACGAAACGAACTCCTCGGCCAGCGCTCACTGTGAAAACCGTTGAACTACCGAGGTTAAAAATCGAATGAGTAATGCTATTCGGTATTCGGCTCATTGGGCCTGTTTTTTGTTATTCGGCCTAATTTCAAATATTGAATCATTATTCGGCGAATACCGAATACTTAGAAACAGGAGAAGGAAATAAGAAAAAACATAATAAATCATGTAACTATTATTAATACTGACATTCATTATAAGTTCGCAAAAGGGCAATTTTTCGATTCTTCATGTAAAAGATCATGTAACGTAACTTATTATTTCAAAGAGCTAACAATTTAGTATATAGTTTCATCATTAACCTATTTACACGTCCCACTGCTGGGCATGGGTCTCCTCACAGGCAAGGGTTGCCCCACGCTTATCCAATGCGGGTTGGGGACTTCACACGTTTTCCGAGGGTTATGAAGATTTCATCACGATGTTTTCCTTTACCGAAAAGCTCATGATAAATTTTAAATTAAATTTCGCACATAAATTTCGAGAAACTCAGAGGTGCGAGCTCGAATTCGAACCCTTTTGAAAAATTATGCAGTTTACTTATGATTAAATAAACTCTAACAAAATCCACCAAGTACTTATAATTTGCAAACCAAAATTAAATTGTGTTCTTGAAAGTTAATCAAAGTGAAGCGAAATTAACAATTACTTTCTTAATTAAGTTATAAATTTTAATCATAAACTTGAAAATTAAAATACTTTTTTGTGCAAAATTATTTATCATAATTAAAGGTATTTTTCGAACCAATTTTCGTACGTGCCTTAACGAGGCCGAATAATTTGGCCGAATGCTCGACTATCCAGGCACGGTCCTGACCAAATATTGTATATTTGAGGCCTAATATACTATTCGTTGCAACACTAGTATACAGATATATAATATAAATGAATGGTTTGTGTATTTGTCCCATATTATGACATGCGTTCTACTCTTAGAGTGAGGCCAGATGAGCTTAATTTTGTGAGTTGTGAGTCGCGTTTTTCGAGTCTCGTAGTTTACGTTCGACTGAAGCTCAGTTTGGGGCGCTAGAGAGTATGTTGTTCAGTTCTTGTAGTGGATTTATGTCACGTAGTGTAACCATTTCGAATCCGCGTTAATAAGTTTGGTGACGAGGGAATCGCATGATTCAATTCCGCATTACCCTTTCCATCAACGGGGGACTAGGCGTAGGCTTGGGTTCCACCCCTGTGTTGTGGATATTCCAAGGATTCGCACGAAGCGTTACGCTTGGAATTCCCTGCCTTGCAGACTTGTTCCCAGAACATTGTACTTTTCAAGGCGTGAGTGAATAGGCATTATTTAGGTGTGCATGCTCTATCGTCGACCTCATCGACAATTTCCATCAGGAGAGATGGAGGTCAAATGCGCACTTACACTTTATTAAAAAAAGTCCTTAACATGTAGCTAATTTAAATGTCTATACAAATAATTAAATATGAACCAAAGATTTGGCAATAATTATGCGTGAAGTATTTCAGCAAGCATTTGTAATTTGCTTTGTCTGCAAGCCTTGCCTTCCGGTGATGACGCGTATTGTGTATGTACCTATGCTACGAAATCTTGAACCATCCTCAAGGGGTTTATCCATCATCGTCATTGCAACTCATTATACGCTCCACTACCGGGCACGGATCTCCACTGCCGGTCCAATGGTTAGGGACTTTACACATTTTCTAAGGGTTATGAATCTTCTTCAGAGTGCAGGTTTTATCACGATATTATTTTCATTCACCGATACACATTAACAAATGCACGTAACTTAAACATTAAAGTTAGAGGTCGCTACAATTGAGAGACCGTACAAGAATACAAGATATTTATTCGCTGTAGATCGTACGTTTTACTAAGACTTGGCATGCGAATATTATACACAATTCTTATTTCAATTTTGATGTAGCATGCATTTAAAGTTAAATTAATTCAATGGCTTATACAAACAATAACAATTGGAATTAAACTAGAAATGAATTTTATGTTATCAAGTAAAAATCCTCAATATTGTAGTAGAAGCATTGAGTATTTAACAAATTATGCAATTTCATTTTAAATTTTCTACAATTTAATTCTGTTTTTTTTTTAAATTAGATTAAAGCATCCGGTAATTTGTTAAATAATTTGAGTGCTAATACGAACATTCTTCTAGTGTGAAATTCCAAATTAAGGCGTTATTTGGGCCGTATTTCTACTTTATTCCTTATGTTTCTAAGATTTCTAGAGAGTTTCTAGTTTTGACTATATTAAAGTTGCTTAGATTTTGTTTCACATAAGCACATGCCTCGTAAATATACATCGATGGTAGGGTTAACATCTTCAGTTTACTAAAGTAAGGTATACAACTCTCTCGCTGACCCACACCAAACATGGCCCTGACATATTTATTCTGGGTTTTAAATAGTGGCATTTCAGCATTTCCCCAGAGCAGTAGTCCATATCGCAAACTAAAGGCTACATAAGCGTGATAAGCACAAAGTTTCCGTCCACCCATTAGACTATCATTTTATATCCATGACTTCTTTTAATGATTTTCAGTATCTGTCTTCACCGGGTAAAGTGATGTTCACGGATCCAGGAGAGGCGACCGATCGGGAGGTAAAGAAGCTTAAAGAGCAGGGCGTCGATATTATACTATTGTTGTCGCATTGCGGATTGACAATAGATCGGTATGATTATTTAATCTTTTTAACCTATTTTAATAATTGTTATGTTTTAGTTTCATTGTAAGAAAATATAATATTCGCTTCCAATTGCCAGTTGCTCGTATTCAACACAAGACACATGTTTGCATAAATCGCAAAGATCTAAGGGACATTGCCACCGCGTCCGGCACTTTGAGACATAAGTTGATAAGGCCCATACATCCGTAATTTCACCAGCACCCTTTTCTTCAAAACTGTCCTTACAAAACGCAGTAATGCTCACATTAGGTAGAAATAAGTAAGGTGGCAGTACTTCCTGGACGAACTCTTTCACAATGAGCTCTACTGCTACTAAATAAGCAGTGTTAGTGAAACTTTTTGATGGCAAAACAAATTAAGTCACAAGATGTAGAAGTGTCATGTACCCGTAATTTCACCGTGAATCCCTGCACGTTTTCTTGTAGTATAAATCTTACCGAAGAAACAATGGCGCATACATTAGATATAGAACCGTTCACACGTTGTATGTTCTGTAAAAAACGTACACAGATCTATACGTTTATCGAATACGCGACGGACTTGTCAAGCAAATCGAATGTACTTAAATGTATTCGGTGTGCAGTGGCGTATAGTATTAATGCATTTCTTTTACACGGCGAAAAGTCATACGTTTTTTATCGAATAGTCACCGAACAAGCGGCGTCTAATATTGAAGTATCTTTTGGAAGGAGGCGATAATTTTTTTAATACAAAATGACAGGCGAATCTTCTGTGGACAACGATTAATTGAATCTTTAGTTCCTTTTTTTTTCATCATTCCTTAGTTTCGTACAATTTTTCAAATGTCTTTGTACGCACTGCTTCTTGATTCATTGGACGAGCCCAATACCTTCTGTTCTTGCGGCGGCAAAGCCGTGAGCGTCTTCTATGCGAGTAAAATGCAACAAAGCGTGTATACATCACAGACGTGTTCTCAAGGCGATTGCTGTGTGATTACAGCGGCTATCCGTCTTTTAAATGTATGAATATATCGTCTCCGCTGTCTATTTATAATGTGTAAATGAAGGCTTAGCTGTTCCATAATGATCACAGTATATACTCCTTTACAGTAAACTAGCCCACGATCACGGGGAATACATAGACATAATAATTGGTGGACACACTCACAGCCTACTGTGGAACGGAATTGCTCCAAGCGGGGAAACGGTCGCAGCTCCATACCCTGTATTTGTAGAGAGCAATAAGGATGTCAAACATAAAGTATGTTTTTCCTATAGTTCTGTAATAGGTACGTCAGTATTGGAGTTGGTAAAGCCATGTATTTATTATACTGCTTTTACGTCAATGTTCACGATATCGAAAAGAGGAAATCAGCTCTTCAAATTTCCGCATCTTGACGAGGAGAATCCAAATTTACTTTGCAACATTTACTTACTTGTGGTTCTGCGAATAAGCACTCTGAGTCAGTAGTCATATCTAGCGAACTATATACGGGTATAATATTTTTTTTTAAATAAAGTTTTTTTATAAAAAATACCGACCTCAAAAATTTGCTTATCCTCTATAGAGGTGTTAGTTACATCTATTTGCCAAGTTTTATTGAAATCGGTTAACAGAAAGTGAGTGAAATTAAATAAACCGGACTCATACCTAATTTGCCACCCATAGAGGTTGTATATTGTCTTCAACTTTGAATGGGACTACAAGTGAGGTACCTCCAACAAAAAAGAATCACCAAAATCGGTTCACAAATATCGGAGTAATCCATGAGTAACCACATAACATACATACAAAAAATAGTCTAATTGAGAACCTCCTCCTTTTTTGAAGTCAGTTAAAAAGGCCATTAATGGCCAGGCTTTGTAATTTCAGGAAAGCTACAGTTTTTCACACTAGGACAGCTACTCATCTCAATTCTCTTTTATTATTAAAAAAAAACTAACTTCATTTATTCCAGGTGCTAATTGTACAAGCTTCGGCGTTCACCAAGTACATGGGTAATCTGACTGTGTTCTTTGACGATCGCGGTGAATATGTGAAATGGGAGGGTGGACCAATTTTCTTAGACCGATCTATTCCTGAAGGTATGAATTTTATAAACATCAATGTAAGCTTTGCACAAACTGGAATAGAGCCTTTCTTAAACGGGCTGAGGGCCTATTATGAGCTTATAAGCACCCAGCTAAGTTCCATGCAATTCACTTGACGTGAAAAACTGAATTGCATAAATTCGTATCATTACCTACAAAAAGTTGAACCGGAATGGCGTGACAGGATGAGGAGTTTTATTTTTTTAAACTTTAATTATTGTCTCTGGCTGGCTAGCTGACATCTAACAAGAGCGAGATGAAACTACATACTAAATCATATGAGAGAAATAGACAGATGTACGGACAACAGCACTTCAGACTACACATTTTTGTTCGAATATCGCCTCCATTGCAACGGAACAAGATACGTCAATGTGTAGCTTGATGTGCTGGTGTGTGTACTATCCTGGGAGCGCTCAAGCACTATTAATCGATTTGTGTTCAAAATGAGAATAATTATATTTTTTTATTAATTTTATTATTAATTATACTTATTACGTTGTTTTGTAATGTCGGCAACTTTTCAATCTTACTTTACAATTTGTCGTACGACAAAATTACATGTCATGTTTAGTCATCATAATCATTGAAATTATTAAGAAGAGTTTCCAATTTGATAACATAATTGGAACATATCTTGTATTCGTACATTTTCATTGATTGCATTAATAGTCAAATTTGGCACTATTTAAAACTTATTTTATGATTTTCGGTCAATAAAATTATTAAAATGATTAAAATTCCATTTAAAAATTGCAATAGCATTCGTGCCAATAATTTATCAACAACACTTTAAAGATTGGAAACTCAAACTAAAACTTTCAAAAAACGCTCAATAGTTAATATTATAGCATAAAAAGATAATAAATAATTATGAAAATGAAAATATAATAAAACTTAAACGAAATTTCTTAAAAATGTAACAAAATTAAAAAAAAAGTTAGTCACGACTTATGTAATGACGGCGGAAAGGGACGTTTTAGAAAAGAATTTATTATTGCAATAAAAGACGTTTAATTCGGATCAAAAACCTTACAAGACTAAAGTACAAAAAATACAATGAAAAGTAGAAAAGCATTACGTTACATAAATCTAAATAGTAAGCTAATTCGCCGTAGGTGAGAGTCAGCATTTACCACGCTTTACGCTATGGTAACTCGGGAGGTGCTCCTCCCTTCTTCAGATAGAACCGCGTCCTGCTGGTTCCTTCTGGTCCTCCAGGTGGATTCGGCGAAATATCGGTAGATTTCCCTTTTGTAAACCACTGGTATGATTTCCAGCATAATATGCTGCCGAGCCCAATGATGTAGAGGATAATCGTACTTCAACTAGGTGTAGTTGCGATAAAAGCCCAATCGTCAAAAGTTTCTTCACCTGTATATTGTGAGCTTTATTTATAAGTTCATGTATGTTATCTAATCAAATGTCTTCAAGTTGCAGCTCGAATCGTATTTCGTTGGTTGGTATCAATGCTTGTTGCGGTAGTGGGGCGACGTCATGTATTATTACGATGTTACTATGGGTTTGCAAAGTTCTGTTCATAAGTCGAGCATGACAATCTTTCGGGATAGAGATGAGTTGCGTCGTTGTTAATGTGTGGGAAGTGACATCATTTTCGCATGTTGCTTTCAAAATTTCTCTAGGATTGGTCACAAGTAGCCAGCTGTTAGGCGTGATATTTTGGAGTTTTCCACTTGGCAGATTCATTATCGCATAAGAGCATGTTGAAAGGTCCACCTCATGTCTGACGAGTGCTACGACGCAATCATCAGCATCATGCTGTAATTTTATGCCTAGATATTTGCAGAGACGCAGATCATCAGCGATGTGGCGACAGTCTTCATCAAGGTAGGTGTACTCTCCGCTTCCAAGCACATCGAGTATATAACCAGAAATAGAGACGAAATGTCATTTAATTTGTTTGAAAACTATTCTGCCATATCATTACTGTGACAACTGCGCTCCGATTGGCCAGCCCGAGTTCGAAACAATTGACGGGTATAGTCAATGGGTGTCGTCAACTGTTTCACTTCAAATGGACCAGTTAACTTCAGCTTTGCTATAATGGACGAAAATTGCAAAATTATATATTTAATATTTAATTACCGATGAAATGTGATTCCGTTTGTTGTGTAATTAGATATAATGCTGTTTTTCTCACACCACCGAATAGAATAGCACGGCATTGTTATAGTAGTATATAGTATTATCTTTATTACAATTAATACAGAATATTTTTTGGAATATACGGAGACGTACACACAGGACATTAGTCGGCCTGTCTATATTTCAGTGCAAACGAGAGTTGATATTTATAAGAGTTGTATCGCTAATGTGTTACCAGGAGTATATGGCCCTTATTTCGTCTCTATTTCTGGTTATATACTCGATGTCCAAGTATTTGGATTTAGGAATTATGGTATAGTTTTGTTTGTTAGGGATGGAGTAGAGATGAATCAGGTCATAAGGAGGTTGTTTTACGGAAGGGTTTTCTAAGATGAAATTTAACGAATGTTCTGTACTATAAGCTTTTACATCTATAGATTTTTCTATTATATGTATATTTCCTAGACTGATTGGAACCACAGACAGAAAGGTAAGCTTTCTTTCCATTTCTACCATTTCAGATACTAAGTTTTGTGTATTTAATATACTGGGATGCATAATGCCTATCTGCGAAAATGCCATAGCGTCTTCTAGTAACATGAGTTTATCTAATATAGTTTATTAGCTAAAGTCTATTTGTATATGAACTTCTATAAGTTGAATTGTCTGTAGATGATATTAAAATGCGTAGTCATATTTTTTAACATCATACTTAATTTATTTTGATTTTCGTTTATTTTATTTAATTGGTTACCAAATTCTTCTGTTGTTTTTTGCGCTAAAAGTATGGATTTTTCTTGTACATTATGTAGTCTATTAGTAATATTTTTTATTTGTTGTTTGATTCTTACAGCATCATCGTAGTCAAGATTACCGGTAATGGATTCAACTACTGATCCCAATCCATTTATTAAACCGCGTCTTACTCTACTATGAGGGGCAAGAAAAATCAATTTATTGTGAATTATACTTAATTCATGTTCGATTTGGTCAGCATACGATTTGTGTATATGTTCTGAGACTACGTTTTTGTTAATATACTTAGTACTTGCATATAGGGCTGCTAATCTTATAGCAGTGCTATGTAAATAACTGATATTATAAGAGCATACGAGATTAAATGAATACTGAAATGAATGACTTTGACTTTGACTTTGACTATTTGTTTTAGGACTTCCGCTTCTTTCACTAAAAATATACCAGTACTATTTTCTAAAGGAGCGACACTCACGATGGCTGCCGCGTAGAGCACGAAGGCTCCGGGGAGGAGCGCCCTGGAAGAAGGTGAGATCTTCGTAATAGTTTGAAGTGGACGCGAATTGACTTTGAATTCGGATGGTTATCGATAATTTCGGCTACGTTATTAGGATGCAAATGTATAATTTTATAGGGTCCTTTAAATACCGGTTTTGTTTTGGCATTGCACGCTGTTTTAGCAACCTGTTTAGAAACTGTCTCACCTACCTTTAGCATTATCTCCTCGGCTTCCTGGTTTCATCTAGCTATTACCTGTTCTTTGTTTTTAGATAGGTTGGCTGCTACGCACTCCTGCACTGCTTCTGCGTTCATCATGTGCTTGATTACGAAATCTTGGTAAAATTGTTTAGAGTAATATAGTTCTAGGGGATTCCTGGCTGCAGTGTGTCTGTATAGTTCATGTGGTGTGTAGCCTATTGCAGAATGTATACAGTTATTGTATGCTATCACGGTGTACTTCATGATAGTTTGTGTTGTGTCGTCTTTGTTTGTCATGCGTTGTATCCTGATAATTTCAGCAATAGTGGAATGAAATCTCTCTATTGGCGAGTTTGATTTTGGGTTGTATGGTGTTGTGAAGTGTATGTCTATATTATGGGAAGCGCACATCTCCTTTATGACATCATTATCAAATTTTGTGTCCGAGTCAGTGGCAATTTTCATTGGTAGGCCTAATATAGAGACTACTTGTAATAGAGCTTCAGTTATATGTACACTACTAGAAGCTTGTAACGGAACTGCTTGGGCGAAGTTTGAAAAGCTGTCGATGATAGTAAGAAACGTGCTACCGCCTGTTGAATAAAGGTCCATAAATATATGTTGCATGGGTGTAGTTGGTGTTTCAGTTACCATTAATGGTGGTCTTAGAGGGTTCCGTTCGTATTTAGCTTTCAGGCATGTATCACATTTATTGACGAATGCTTGTGAATGAATGAAGAGGAGCATATTTGCCCAATGGTAATTTTGTCTATTAAGTTTATATGTCTCTTGAATTCCGCGATGAATGTTCTTGCCTTCATGGTATTTTTTAATGATATCTTGCTGCTCTGTTTTGTTATTTACGAGGTCCACACGGGATGTACATCTAAAAAGTTTAGTGCCTCTTTCGTTAAAGACAGTTGTATAGACTCTTGAAAAAGCTAGATAAATGTGTTCATCAAAGACGTAGCAATGAAAAACTCTATCGTCAATAGTGTGCTCTTTTAAGAACTTTACTATTTCCTTTTCTGTGTTGTTGACTGGTATGAATACATCTTTAATTACTACTTTAGAGTTAGTTGATCTGTTCTCAACTCTGTACGTTAAACCTACCGTTGATCTAACATAAAATTGTTTTTGTTGTCGTTCAATTGCGTAGTCATATGTAATTGTATAGTCATATTCCGCCAACTTTAGCTGCCATCTTGTCAATTTAGAATTTGGGTACGACCGTATAAGTATGGTCGGAAATATTTGACCGCCCATACTATCGCTAGTAGCTCTTTCTCGATCGTTGAGTAACGAGTTTCTGTTTCAGAGAGAGTTCGCGAAGCGAATGCCACGGGTTTGTCTGAACCTAGCTTGCCTTGGGAAAGTACTGTTCCTAAAGCAAAGTCTGAAGTATTTGTGGTAAGTATAAATTCTTTGTCAAAGGAGAACTGTAAGATTGGGTCGTTAGTCAGCATCTGTTTGCAATTATTAAAAGCGTTTAAAATTCAGGGGTGTGAGTGACTTTACAGTTTTTCAGGCATGCGGTCATAGGTTTGGTAAGTTTGGCAAAGTCTTTGATGAATTTTCGGAAGTAGCCTACGAGGCCAAGGAAAGCTTTTGTTTTATGTCTTTCTGGGTCTTGGGAAGCGGGAAACTTAGTACGGCTTTTATTTTATCTTTGTTGGGTTTCACGCCATCACGAGTTAACTCATGACCTAGGAATTGACCATGTTTCTGTAACAATTCTGACTTATCCAACTGAACTTTTAGGTTGTGGACCTTAAAACGGTCAAAACTTGCTTGAGCTTGGTGATATGATCTCGTAAGGACGTGGAGACGATGATTACGTCATCTAGATAAATGAACACATTTTCTAAACCGCGTAAAATATGATCAATTAGCCTCTGAAATGTGCTAGGGGCGTTTTTGAGCCCAAAGGGCTTTCTCAAGAATTCATAGTGCCCTCTTTCGGTTGAAAAGGCTGTTTTTTCTGTCTCGGGGGTGCATCTCTACTTGGTGATATTCACTCGCCAGATGGAGTGTAGTAAAGTATTGTGCACGTCCTAATCTGTCCAGAATGTCGTTAATGTTAGGTAGTGGGTATTTGTCCTCTATACTGCGGTCGTTCAATCTTCTGAAGTCAATAACGAGACGCCATTTTATCTTGCCTGAAGCGTCTGGTTTCTTAGGGACCACGTGAATAGGGCATGACCATGGAGAGACGCTCTCGCGGACAATACATTGTTTCAGGAAGTTATCAATTTGGGATTTCGTTTCTTTGTTTTGTTGCAACAGTTTGTAAATTCCACAAACTGTAGTCGTTGCTCGGGGGTCCAATTATTACGTTGGGAAACAAAATTGCTTTGAGGAATAAAACTTATCGGACTATTAAAGGGTTTGTTATCAATAGCACGTGGAAAATGATTATTATTTTGGTGTCTAAACATTTCAGAAAGCCAGAAAGGCTATTAAAGTTAGGGTTCTGCCTGTAATTTGCTTTGGCTTACTCCTGTCGTGCTGTCACTATAGCAAGTTCTAAAGTATTAGGGTTTGCAATTCTACCCCTACATACATGGAAGTCAAGTTGTTGAACATAGTGTTCTATTGCCATTTTTTCATAGTACGTTTTGTCCGTATGCTGACTTACTAGATATAGGGTATCTAACAATTCACGGATCCGTTTTCCGTACGTCTCCGCGTCTCCGGATTTATTTCGGCGGGTACGTGTGAGCTCCTGCATTACCCCATTTCTAGGCTCACCTAGGCGCCTTCGTAAGGCTGCTTTAATTTCGTCGCAAGAGTTCACCGAACCTTCATGCTATGGCATCTATAGCCGCGCCACTTAACCTGCTCCTAATTAGGCAGACTATGGCCTGCGCACCTGTCTCGCCTCTCGGGCGAGTAAATGTTATCAGGCTGTCTTTACTTTTCGGATATAGAAATTTAGCCTTTTGGGATTGCCGTCGTATCTCGGCATTAAGTTGGCGATCATTTTGTAATCTGCTTCGAACTCTATTTTCTTTTTATAAAAACACCGTACGCTACTATATCACTTGATTTAAAAATATAGCGATAAAAGCACACAGACAGATAGACGTGAAATCACACTTATCAATAAATATGACAGGCAATAGAGCAAGGAATGTACTAGGAAGAGTATGAGCACTCACCAATACAGCCACTGCGTCGCCTGCTCGGGTCTTGTAGGTACAGGCTTCCAATTCTCCGGAGTCCCGCGGGTTCAGTCGTCCTGGTTATACCGTTGTTACTGTTCTTGATGGGACATCGCGGACAAACGATTGGCACCGTTCACTCTGGTTCGCACAAAGAGTTCTATTCACGCGAATACTTTTGTTTAGAAAAGTCTAGAGTGCCGCGATCCTACCGACTGCACCTTTTATGCAATGATCCGCCATCACGTTCAAACATCAAAGGACGTTTTAAAAAATAATTTATTATTACAATAAAAGACGTTTAATTCGGATCAAAAACCTTACCAGACTACAGTACAAAAAAATACAATGAAACGTAGAAAAGCATTACGTTACATAAATCTAAATAGTAAGCTAATTCGCCGTAGGTGAAAGTCAGCATTTACCAGGCTTTACGCCATGGTAACTCACGGAGTAACTTTTTTTGAATTGCTAATTTTTACAGATGGGATCGTCATTTGCATGGCAAATAGCACGTCATGATGCGATTTTGCTATGAAAGAAAAGGTGAACTGATTTCGAATGGGGAACGTAAACTGCATGGACAGTGAATTGTTTTTGTGAGGTCTTAGTACGAATTTGACAGACAATCCAACTTACAGACTTAAATATGATTGCTCTAAGAGCTCATAGTAGGCTCCTTGGTTACTTTATTACTTATTTATGACAGGCGGCAGACTCATCCCTTAGATTTATCAATATAACAAAAGTACTTTGATTTCAATTGTATCAAATAATGATGTCATGTAAAATATGATATGTGACTCGACACTCGATTATCCGAGTCACGATGTTGATACATATGGGAAGAAGTTCTTTTCATTCCTTGAAATAGGAACTTTACTGGTTTTGGGCCTCACTTGGGCCTATGTGATAAACGCACCGAGTTTTATATAATGTAAAAACTACAAATTTTTAAAATTAATTTTAAATGAGTAAACTATTCAATAATCAATTTTTTTTATGACAACAAATGATGGGAATGGGACGAACAAGTCGCGTGCCTAATGGTAAACACACGCTTGTCCATAGCAGTTGCAGTACCACTCATAGCTTTAAACCGCAAAGATCTAAGGGGTACTGCCATTTAGGCCCGTCATCCTGAGACATAAACTGACAAGTCTCATGTACCTGTAATTTCACCAGCACCCTTAGCCTTCAAAATCGGAACGCAGTAATGCTCACATTACAGTGTGGCAGAAATAGATAAGGGGGCTGTGGACGAACTCTTTCAAAAGAAACTCTACTGCTACAAAAATTTGTATAAATGCGAACTAAACTAATAAGTTTCAATGAAGTTTAGTTTTTTTTTTAGTTACACACACGAACATACTCATAGCCCCGGGACCTCTGCGTGGCGGCGCAGCATGGTAGTCGTTCTTTTGTTAATTGTAATGTTAACTTATGTTTGCCGGCTAAAGATTTTTATTTTCACATTTCTGTGATTACTATCCCACTACAGGGCAAATACTTCCCTTCGCTTTCTCCACTCATTGCGATTTAACGCCGCTACAGGCCGGGATCTCATATTATAAGCGTCCAGCTCGTCACGTCATCTCCTTTTAAAATAAAATTAACAAATATGTTCTTATTGTATTATTGAGTTTTTTGTGTGAAATTACTTCCACTAGTTTTGTTATTGACTATTAAATACAAAGATCGAACACATGCAAAAATAGCGGCGCCGAATTCTGAAAATCAGTACAAATATCGACCTGTAACTCAGTTGGTATAGAGCAACGCTGTACAGCGTGGTCACGGGTTCAATTCCCATCGGGTCGAAGAGATTTTTCTGTGTTCGATTTTTGTATTAATGATCATAACAGATATGTGAGGCAAAGCGGCAGATATACAAACCATATTTGTGTTTCAAAAACGAGCGATTCGTTATGTGTACCGTTTAGATTCTCGGGTTTTTCTCTCAGAGAAAAGTTTAAGGAGACTGGTATCGTGACTGTGGCATCACAGTACGTTTACTGAAATATTTTGTGTGCCCGTAAAAATATACATAATTTCATTAAGAAATAAGATATCCATAATATTTCCAATATCCATACTTAGTCCAAACTCATGGTACCACGTTTTCGTTTAACTAAGGTAAACGATTCTTTTATGGGGAACAGTATACGTCTTTATACAATAAGATTCCGGAGCATATATTACGATTATCAATTCCTAAGTTTAAAAGTTACATTAAAAGAATTTTAATTGACAAGACACGTTACAAAATTGAAGAGTATGTTTTAGATGAAGATGTATGGAAAGACAACATGAGTTTAGATTCCACACAATTATTATACAAAGTGTATTCAATCCCTAGATTTCTAGCTCGTTCTTTTTAGGGAGGTCAGCGTAGTGAACGAGCAGTAGCTTAAAAGTGTAAACATTTTATCTATGGAATAAATGATTATTTGAATTTGACTATGTTTTTTATAGTTTTACAGTACAGGATTGAGTTTTAATTTATTAGCTTATTTACTTATTACAGATGAAGAAATCAAATCAAAGCTACAGCCGTACGCTCAGTTGGTGCGTGAAGCAGAGAACATTCGCATAGGGGAAACCACGACTACTCTCTTGGCAGAGGACTGCGCGTATGGTGAATGCCCCTTGGGAAATTTCATTGTCGATACTATTCAGGCTGTGGTAAAAATATTTGTTATGCACTTGTTTTTTATACTTATATGTTTCTTGTGTTTTATATAAGCCAGGTAAACACAGGTAGGGATGCCGCTATATTTATATTTATTAGGCAGCATCACACAATGACGACGGTACCACAAACAGTATTGAAAACTTAGTTTTCTATATTAACTCAGCCGGGGATGGAACCCGGGACCTCAGAAATGGCGACACCATGAAAACCGGTGTGTAAGTCACTCGACCACGTAGGTCTTTAAAGTCTAAATAAAATATTTTCTGTAATGCGCCTGGATATAAATTTGCGGCAATTGCTTTTTTAGTATAGTTATTAATATAATTTGACATCTCAGAATCAGGCGCTAAAGTCGTAAGTTTTAAAATGCCATCTTTGAAGGTTTTTAGCGGATTGTCATTTTTTAAGTTTTTTTTTATTTTAATCGTGTTTATTTCAGGCTAAAACAAAAGTGGATTCTGATTACGATTCCATCACTTTTATGCCAAGCAGTACTATAAAAGCCAGTTTTCCTCAGGGAAGTAAGTAAATTATTGAACGACTTTCTTTATTTTTCTCCTTGATTATGAACTTATACAACTATTCGTAGTTTATTAATTCCTCTGTAATAATATTTATTCTATCGAAAAGGGAGGCCAAGTTCGGAATAAACAAAATATTATTTGTTTCGCTAACAAAATATTGAAGTTGTAAGCGGG